TGTCAGTATTCTCTTACTGCTTCAAAGATTATGGGTCTACTGTTGACATGTTGTGTCCCTCCAGTGAAAGTTGTGCTCCTTGATCATAGTTACCAGTTCTCCATTTTGTTGATATTCCCAGCATCTAGTGTGGCATCGTGCAAGTAGCAGGCCTTTAACATTCCCTTGGATTGGTTGTTTATTGAATTATTTGCCAAAACAGGCAACTCTCTTATGATTTCCCATCTTCTGCCCTGGTTCAACAGACCCGCTCACATCGGCTTCGGATCTATGAGAGAGAAGACTATAGAGGCCAGATGGTGGAGCTCACTGATGATTGCTCTTCTCTTCAAGATCGATTCCACTTTCAGGAGATGCACTCCTTCAATGTCCTGGAGGGCTGCTGGATCCTCTATGAGCTGCCCAACTACCGAGGAAGGCAGTACTTGCTGAGGCCGGGGGAGTACAGGAGATACCTGGATTGGGGAGCCATGAACACCAAAGTGGGCTCTGTGAAGAGAGTGATAGACTATTACTAAAATATGTTTACATTCTGCCTATCTCAATTTGGAGATTAATAAAATCCTTCCTGTGTGTTCCCTGCAAATATAAGCTCTTGTTTTTCTTTCGATCCCATTTTAAAGGCTTAGCTGGAACAAGGCAAGGCTGAAAGTATGTTTTCCTGTGTCAACTGAGATGGGGAAGGTTATTTGATTCTCATCCAGTCTCTCAGAACCAAATGTCATACCGCAGAGGCCTATATTTTTTAAAATGTGAACTCTTTCACCATTCTTAGGAGGCTTATCTTTTAGAACTTGCCTACATCCACTAAGGAATGAAAGCACTGACTTAGCCCATTCCAGACTGTCTCTAACAATATAGGACTGGATATTTTGAGTAACCATTATGCAGTGTGGAATGGACTGGATTAGGGATTCAAATCCAGACCCTAGTCACTGTGGGCAGCACTTTCCTCCTCCCCCCTCTTCCCATCATTCAGGGAAATATGAGATTGGACATGAGAAGCAAATCTCTACGTAATTGCTAGGGCAAGTAGATGAGGGAGAGTGTTCCTGACCTATGATTTCATTGATGCAGGGAGCTCCAGGTGCAGAAACTCCCTCTACTGATGCAAATTGGCAACACGTCTGTAGCTCATAATCTTAGAGATTTGCCTAGGACACTGAAAGATGAAGAGACCTGCCCATGGTCAGGCAAATAGAAAGAGTTTGTGGTAGGATTTGAACTCAGATCTTCCTGGACACCAAGGTTGGGCCTCCATCCACTATTTCCTGCTGCTTTTCTAATAGATTAGTGATACAAAATTAAACTCAATGTGCAATGCAGATTTGAGACAATTATATGAGATGATCTCTAAGGCCCCTTCCAGTTATAATGAATAATGACCTAGAGATAGTGCACCTTTTGCACCACAAAGAAACCCAACAAAACAAGTTTCCCCTCCCCTTTGTCCTCTGTCAGGACTGTCCTGGCACTCAAGGAATGTTAAAAAATTTTCAAGAAGAGCTCCAACACATTGGGTGAATCCTCCATGACTGGTTTATAGAAGGACGTGAGTAAGAGACCCACAGGTTGAAATTGTGCTAATGGTCCCTAATCTGTGCTGTAGGAGGAGGTACCCACATCAAATGTTATTATGGGTCATAAGATCATAGATTCACAGCTGGAAAGGATCTTGGAGATTATCAAGTCAGACTTTTATAGATGAATGAAATCATTACATTTTACAGATGAGGAGACTGAGGCACAAAGAAATTAAGTAACTTGCCCATGGTCGTATAGCTAGTAGGTGTCTGAGACAGGGTATGAACTCAGTTCTTCCTGAATTCAAGCTGGGATTAAATGAGATAATATTTATAAAGCATTTAGCACAATATCCAGCACATGGTATCCGCTGAATAAATCCCTTGTTCCCACTGTCCCCTTCCCCAAGTCCAACACTCTATCCATTAAAAGTCACACTGCCTCAGTATTCAAAGTTTTGAAATGTTAAATGTTTTGATCAAAGACAATAATAGTCCCACTATACTATACATGAAGGCAGTAGATAAAGTGTTGGCCCTGAAGTCAGGAAAACTCATCTTCATGAGTTCAAATCTGGCCTCAGATTCTTACTAGCTGTGTGACCCTGGGCAAATCACTTAACTCTGTTTGTCTCAATTTCCTCATCTGTAAAATGAGCTAGAGGAGGAAATAGCAAATCACTTCAGTGTCTTTGCCGAGAAAACGCCAAATGGGGCCATGTAGAGCCAGACATGACTAAAAACGACTGAACCACAATTTTCCATGGATCAGATCACATCTGGCATTGTCTTCAATTCTAGTCACTAAATTTTAAAAGGAGTATTGACAAAATGAAGTGTGCAGAGGAGGGAAATCAGGGAGTGAGAAGCCTAGAAACTATTAGTAGTTTTAATAATTCACAACAATATAGTGATTTCTCATATCAACTTTGTTGTTCAAATATTACACAAAGAAAAGGAAATAGTAGACTTGTTCAATATTGCTTCTGAGAAAACAAGGAGAATTTCTGGAGGGAAAGTTACAGAGCTTGAGTATGCACAAAAAATAATTTTCTTGCAACCAGAATTTTGCAGCAAATAGAATAGGCTACTTTGGAGATAGCGTGCTCCTTCACACGAAGAAGGGAATAATCATCTGTCAGTCATTCATTCATTGAAAAAAAAGATTTATTAAGGACTTATTTTACTCCAGTCACTATACTAGATGCTGGGAATACAAAGACAGAACCAAAAACAATCCTTGGCCTCAAGGAGTTTATACTATATTAGGGAAAAGCAATGTGCCACAAGTAAAAAATATATATACAAAATGACATTGGGGACCCCTGACAATTGGAGAGATCAGAAAGATATAATGTAAGAGAAGGCACTTGAGTAGAAATTAGCCTTGGCCTAAAGCATACTGGAAGGAATCAAAACTGCCTTGCTTTCCCAATTCAAGTACTAAGGTTTCTATCACGTACTCAATGATTTATGAGACTGAGTACTTGATTTCTCCTTTTGCTCTTCAAGGCTCCCCCTTGCCATTATGTCTTGTGCCTTCTCAGGGGAAGAATATTATCAGAGAGATTCTTGCTTTGGGTTGGACCCTTTCAGCTCTGAGCCTAGGGATGAAGTTTACTACTGAGAGAACATCTCTGTACCAGATTGTTCTGGATGGTCCTGAGAAAACAATTTATTCTCTGAGTCTTTGTTCATCTACAAATAATGTGGTTTTCACTTGTCCCCATTTGCCATCTTAGGACATTAGAAGGATTGGTGATTATAATCAGCAATGTTCTCTAAAATGATTTCCTACTAGGAATAATAATCTCAAGAAAACAGGAACCAGTCAAATTTGATTTTGTGCGAATGGACCATTAATTGAATGGTAAATTCACTATAAGCTCTATTTTGGGTTAATTAGTAATCTTCTAATTTTACCCTACAGGATACCTTGTTTCTTAAATGAACTAGCTATACAGTTTCTTTTAAAGAATAATTGGGAAAAAAAGAATAATTGATTTTTTCCCCAAAACCCATGAAGTGGGACAAATTGGTGGAGTATTTGGAGAAATATTTGCTTTAAATGTCAATATACAACAAATTTAGATGTCTATGGTAGGGATACACACACACACACACACACACACACTTTTCCTGTCCTGCTTTGCCTGCAACTTTACCTGTGATGGTTTAGTACATATTTAGCACTCATGAAAACCATTTGTTGTCATTGTCAATAAGTTTATTTAAAGGTTAGTAAGGATCTTTTTTTTTAATAGCATACATTCCCACACTGAGCATGGTAAAGATCTATTGATTGAATGACTTTTGATTTCAACAACATTCCAAAGACTTGGGCACAGAAATGTTAGAGGAAGGAGACTGACCCTGTGATTCATTCATTCATTCATTCATTTTTTATGCAGGGATCTCCCAGATGAGGAAACTCTGTTAATTCAGGTCTTCACTTTCTCTGTAAATTAAAAAATTAACTAAAGTAGTGTTGTCAAGCTGAAGTAGAAATGGGTCACTAGCCCTTCCTCTTTGCCATCTTCCTCCCACTTGCAGCCATGAAGGTCGAGATGTGCAGCTTCAGCGGGTACAAGGTCTACCCGGGTCATGCATGGGAGGCACTATGCCCACACGGACAGCAAGGTTTTCCAATTTTTGAATGCAAAATGCGAGTCTGCATTCCTTTCAAAGAGGAACCTCTGACAAATTAATTGGACTGTCCTGTATAGGAGAAAACACAGGAAGGGACAGTCGGAAGAAACTCAAAAGAAAAGAACTTGCTGGGCTGTTAAATTTCAGAGAGCCATCACTGGGGCTTCTCTTGCTGGTATAATGGCCAAGAGGAACCTGAAGTTTGAAAGGCCCAATGAGAACAAGCCATCAGGCCTTCCAAGGAAGCAAAAAAAGATAAGCAAGCAACTAAGAAGACAGCTGCATCTGCTGCTAAGGCTCCTACAAAGGCAGCGCCTAAACAAAAAATTGTGAAGCCTGTGAAAGTTTCTGTGCCCTGAGTTGGTGGAAAATGTTAATTGTCTACTAAATTGGACTAAGTAAAATAAAATTTAAAGCAACAGCAACAACAAAAAGAAATGGGTCTCTAAACCATACAGAAGTATCCCTGCAAGCCATGTATTGACTTAGAAAACTTCATATTAATATCATTTATGTCTTACTGTATTTTATTTAATTTTTAAAATATTTCCTGATTACATTTTTCATCTGTTTCAGGCTGTACTTAGGAGTATGCTGGGCCATTGACTCCTAGAACACTCAGAAATGAAATTATTTTCTCAAGGTCACACAGCCAAAATGTAAAAGAGTTGGAACTTGAACCCAGCTTTTTTTGAGTGAGCTATAATTAAGGTTTTTTTTGTTTTTGTTTTTTTGGTGAGGCAATCAGGGTTAAGTGATTTGCCCAGGGTCTCACAGCTAGTAAGTGTCATGTGTCTGAGGCTGGATTTGAACTCAGGTCCTCTTGACTCCAAGGCCAGAGCTATAGCTATTGTACCACCTACCTGCCCCCTATAATTAAGTTTTGAATTATTATTCTGTAGGATTAATATTGTTTGAGCATTAATGTATCATTAATAATAACACAAAAGGAATTGTGTCAGAGAATTAAGAACTTCAAGAGTTAGAAGAGCCCTTAGAGACCACCTAGGCCAATCTCAACAAGAATTCCATTTGCAAAATCTACTAGTGGTCATTCATCCCTTGTTTGAAAATCCTGTGTAACCAAGAGGGAACCAGTCACCATCAAAAAAGTTTGTATTTTTCTTTTAGTGCCTCTTTTGCTCAAGTCCTGGGCTATAGAACCTGAAGGCCATCTGATCATCTACATTCTCGTCTTCTTTCTTGCCTTTCTCCATTGGAAGGCAGGGCCTGATAAGGTTTTCGGGGGCAGTAGCACCATATAATGAACCAGCTTCGTGCACGCACTTCTTCCCCTCTGATCTTAATGTTCCTCATCTAATTCCTGCACCCCTGGAAGAAAAGAAGGAAGGTAAGAAGGAAGGAAAGAAGGAAGAGAGGGAGGGAGAGAGGGAAAAGAGAAAGAAACAAAGGAAGAAACTTTCAGTAATGAGATAGGGGAAATATCCATTGATTTTGAATTATGCAACCTGGGTTTGAATCCTACCCAGCTCTGGAACTGCAATCACTTAACCTCTCCGTGACTTAACTTCCTCTCCTGTTTCCACTTCCAGCTCTTGAAACAATATTCAATCAACAGTACCATTCCTGGCAAGAAATGAGTTTATTGGCCAGTCACTCTATTGACCAAACCTATGACTTTCCTGTCTAAAACACACAGTCCTCAGAATACAGTAACCACTTAATAGATACGTATTCATTCATTCTTTCACTTAAATCTTATCTTACATTTAGTAGGTCTAGTATACAGCAGCGCTTAACAAATGCTCTCTGAATGAATGAATGGCAATTATAGAAAAATCTAATTAATTCAGATTGTACACATTAGAATTTGTTGAGGGGGCGAAGTTTATTTTTGTCCTTTCTGTAAATTTCTCCATTGAATCCTAGTCTCATTAGACCAAAGATTTAAAGCTGAAAGGGATCTTAGAAGCCATCCAGTCCAATCTTCTAATTTTACTGATGAGGAAACTGAGACCTAGAGAGGTTATTGATTTGCCCAGGGTCAGACAGCCAGTACATGGCTGAGGTAGAATTCGAACTCAGGTATTTCAACTCCAAATCCAGCGTGCTATATACTGTCTTACATGTCTTTGGGAATACCTGGTTGAGACCTTGACTTCTGAACCATCTAGGTATTGTTAAGGTCAGACAGATAGAAATCTCAAATAGAGCTGGTGAATATAATGGATATCACATAACATAACATAACAACATAACATAATGTAATGTAACACAATATAATGTAATGTAATATAATATATGTATATATAATGTATGTGTCAATGTAATCTTTCATCCTCCTCTTACCTGTGCTGTGGTTTTTGTACCTTGTCCTCTGGGAAGCCATGTTTGTGAATAAAGAAATAAGAGTATTTCAATTTCAAGTCACTGCTCACCTCTTCCTGATTAAACTCAGGGCTCCAGCAATACCAGAGCATTTTAAAAGTTCATGGATGTCTAGCCTTGCTGAGAGTGGATCCTGAGCTTCTTGATTCCTATGGCCATTTATCATTTATGTTAATCCTCTCTCAGCATCTCTGGCTCCAACAATGACTCAGACAAGGACTGTTCTTTAAGAGACAGGTAAAATCTGAACTCTCACCTAGTTAAAATCCTGTGAGCCACTTGATTGGGCTTGTGGCTAGACCTCAGGCACTTAAGTGATTTGTCTTTTAGAGAGAGACAGAGAGACAAACAGACAGAAACAAACACAGGCAGACGGACACAGAGATAGAGGCAAAGAGTAGAGTGAGAGAGAGAGACAGCCAGAGCCAGAGTACAAAGATCCAAGACCTTGGAGTGGTACTGGCCACAGAAGCAGATTTTTCTCTTAAGACATTTTAATTTTCTTTACAGTAACTGAACTACATATACAGAATGCAGAAATTCGGGGGTCAGAGTAAAACTGGACTACTAAAAAGGATGATGATTTAATGCAGGTCTGTCCAAATTTTCCTCAATTATGGGCCATACAACTAGATATGTATGTGTGTGTATACATATATATATATATATGCAGACTGTGGAAACTGTTGTATTAATCACTGCAAAGTATAGCCTGCCAGTTATTCAAACATATGCATTTTTTCGCAGTAAGAGAAAAATAGTCTAAAAAAAGATTTAATCAAATTTATTTTTATAAAAATAGACAGAGACAGTATTAATTATTGATTAGTTTTTATCAATTTGTGTAGAATTGTTGTTCAGTCGTTTTTCAGTCATGGTTGACTCTTCATGAACTCATTTGGGGTTTTTGGCAAAGATACTGGAGTGGTTTTCCATTTCCTTCTCCAGCTCATTTTACATGTGAGGAAATCAAGGCAAAAAGGGCTAAGTGACTTGCCCAGGGTCACATAGCTAGTATGTGTCTGAGGCCAGATTTGAACTCAATGACTCCAGGGCACTCTATCACCTAGCTGCCTCCTATTGTTCAGAATCCTGGAATTTAACAAACTGAACTCTGCTGAAGAATAATAATCAGCAATCACCAAGTATTTATTAAGTGCCTACTAGGTTTCAGGTACTGGTTATACAGATGAGTGAATGAAATGATCTCTACCCACAAGAAGCTTACATTTTAACAGGAGATAATTATGTAATGGACAGCTAGGTGGCACAGTAGTCAGTAGAGCTTGTAGTCAGGAAGACTCATCTTCCTAAGTTCAAATGTGGCCTCAGACACTAGCTCTGTGACACTGCAAAAGTCATTTAACCTTGTTTGCCTCAATTTCCTCATCTGTAAAATGAGCTGGAGAAGAAAATGGCAAACCACTCCAGTATCTTTGCCAAGAAAACCCCAAATGGGGTCACAAAAAGTCAAACAGGACTGAGAAAAATGACTAACCAGCAAAAATAATTTTGTAACATTTTAAAGTTGACAAAGTGCTTTTCTCATAATAATTTTGGAAAGTAGGTAGTACAAGTTTTATAATCCTTATTTTCTAGATAATGAACCCCAAACCAGAAATCAGATCCATTCATTGACTTGCCCAGACCACACAGCCAAGTAAAGAGGAGCATCCAGGGCAAACCTAGATCTCCGGTCCCTACATCCAAGGTTCTTTGTACTATACCAAGCTTGCCACTTTATAGAACATATCAAGTGAAAGTGCATCTAAAATCTAACTCTAGGTTTACATTTCTGCCAGTGATCTTCAACTGCAACTTCAGCAATTTCACAAGAGGATTTTTTAAAGAGATGTTTTTTTCATCATTTGAGACAGGCCTGAACATTACCTAGAAATTTCAGATGGTTAGTCCCAACTGATTTATTGGTTCACATGTCTTCACACGTCCTAATTGTTTTTTTTTTCAAGTTGACAAAACATCTGAAGTTGGGTCTCATTTGACACAACAGTCACATTTTGGAAGCATGGGATTTAGTGGTTATACCTAGGTCCATTATATTCTTGGCGTGAACAATCCTTAGGACTTAAAGTCACTGCAAACTGGGACTTGTGAGCTATGGGACTCTGGAGCTTCTGATAACTGCTAGCCTATTCAGTTATAAGCAGAGATCCTGAGGATCTCCAAAAGGTCTGTCAGTGCTCTCCAGTCATTATATGGTGACCTATTATGAATTAAGCTGCTGTTAATTTATATTACTTAAAAGTAGGTGGATTTTCTCCCATGGAAACTGAAATATATGGGAGAATTGGATGCAGCAATAGCTGATGAGGAGAACATATTTGCAGTCTGTACTGTTTTCTATGATGAACTGTCATATTTTAAAATGTGCTTTCTCTGTTTGCGGATGTTGTTAAAATCACCTGTGTCATCTTTCAAATATCACCTAAAAAGCAAAATTGTCTTTGTTCAGCTAACATCAAACCCTGTTCTTCTTTCTTTGTTTTTCTTCTTTAGGTCTTTTTGCCTCAATCACACAAAGACTGTTCAGTATAATCTCCTATATTCTAACTAGAATTCTATATGAACAATGTTTACTCAACAGCCCAGAGTTTTATCATTTCACCAAAATGACCTTTGTACCAAATATTCTCTCTTGGCCACTTTGGAGACTCTGGATGGTTCATGGAAAGGTTAACAGTGAAGAAGATTGATTTAGGTGATTTCAGCCAGTGATAGTGGCCCTGTGCTTGTCTGGGATAGTTTGAGTATATTCTGCTGGGAGTTTGATATATGAGCAATAGTTCATGACACAGGGTGAGATAAGCCTGAACAACAATAAATGGATGCTTTGTGCATGCTACAGAAAAACAGCATTTGAGAAATGATATCATGCACGTGTGCAGCACTTGAAACTTTTCAGATCAATTTCACATACCAGTCATGTTTCTCATGGGGTTTAAATAAATAAAAGTGAACTCTTTTTCATGGAAGAATCCTTTTTATTATGCCAGTGCCTTGCACCTAGTCAACATATAAGAAATACTGAATGAATAAATGAAATATAAAATACAAGGACCTGAAATATAAAATACCAATCAAGGATTGATAAAGGGAAAAATAGATACTCACATCAAATCTAACTGAGTACATTCTCCATTATTCATTAAGTGATTGACCACAGTTAGTTCAGGTCCTATTGATAAGAACAACCTTTCTATTTTTTTCCATATATGTCACCCTGGATTACTACCAAGACTAGTTCATTCACTCAAAATCATTTCTGTGCTTGACACCGTGCTAGGTATCAGGCATACAAAGACAAAACTGAACCAACCTTTGCTCTCAAAGAGGACTTTTACTTAGAGAAAACAACATTTACACAAATGAGTTAATGTAAAATGTATTCAGTTTGGTCTGGGATCTCATCAATTTGCATGTCCCCTCCAGTGATACAAATCACAGCCAGTCCATTCCATATAGCACAATTCTTGTCCATGACAACTCATAAGCTCAACGCTGAACACATTGGGAACTTTCCTTGATTTCCCCTTAAGGATACCATCAGCATATACAAGCTTTCCATCCCTCACTCTCCCCTATCTATCTTACCTATGTGACCTACCTATCTTTTTTTTCAACCATACAATTCTTTGGTATATTTTACTCAAGTTCTCCTTCATAATCCCTGGTAGTATGTTGTAATATGTTGTAGCTTCCTTACACTCACCATGTACCTTTGCATTGCCTGTTGGGTAATAATGATTTTCTATTTTTCAGAGACTATGACACTCAACTCACAACAATACAGATTAAAATGATAGTATTACAAAATGGGCCTTTCATTCAAGAAGAAGAGGTTAAATGTAATTTAATCATCAGAATTCTATGAAGCTATGGCTTTTCAGGAGTATCTGACAGCACATGTACTCCACAGTTAGATATCCTCTGCTTGGCATTTAAATAAAATCCTTTACCATCTT